CGTTTCCAAGCCCTATAGTAAATTTTTTGGTGCTTACAGAGAATGCATGTTAACACCTAAAAAATGGAAGTAAATTGGACTTTAAATGCCGAAACTAGTATGTGTCCGACTTTAAATTCTACATGTCCGACTTTCACTGTCGCTGTCCGACTTTATCAGCCTTTGCCTTTCCGTGTTTGGTTTTGAATTATAGCATTAGAAAGCTTTTAAAGGGGGAGGAAATAAGCACCTCCTTCAAATTTACCTGGTCTTAGAACCTCTGTCAATCATTTGAAATTAAGCCTGGGATTGGATACTTTGATTTGATTGACATTTAGTTTGCTGCTATTGTGTATATCTTGTGTACATTGTCTGGAGATCGTACCGACCATCGAATTAACTTTCAGGCTTTTGATGCCTACCGCACTGTATGCCAACGTGATAAAGAAGCAATCAAATCGTTCTTTTTTTAATTCATAAGAATATGCCAAAAATATATCAATCTATCAATTATTAAATAAATGACAAGAAAATCATGGCTATATAATATATCATAAATTTAATTTTAAATGGGAGGATTTCATATCACGATTACTATTTTAATTTCATTGTCAAAACATGAGTTAAAGTACATTGATTCCTCCATTAATTAACAAAATAAACCGACCTGCTTTTGAAGCTAGTGTCATGGAATTAAATAAAATCATTTTTTAAAACAAGTATGACAACATTGTAACATTGTTCATGAGTCAAGCGAATTTATATTTATAAGACAATCCTGTACGTGTCGCTTTTCTTCGAGACATGGTAACGAAGAAACCTGTTACGGTATAATAATAAGTTTTTGAAGAGAAATTTCTCGGAATATAACATCTTGCTTTGTATTTAATGTTTGAAATTAATAATGAATCCCGAAAGAAAAAAAAAACGATGCAGACGATTCTTTTCCCGTTTCATAGCTGTCGGGGAATCAGCCCAGGCCATTTTTACCGACCATGCGTTATGGAAAAATCAAGTTCGGTTTATCTTAAAAAGATATTTATTTAGACAATAATATTTCTACTTCAACATTTTATTCTCAAAACATCGTTTCTAATTGTTATTTACCGAGAGACTGTTTCTTCTTTTGTTTTGCGTAGACGACGTGTAATTTGAATTACTTCTCTTTTTGTCGCCAGAATACAATGACAGATTTTAGTGCTAACTGTATTTTCGTTATAACACTTTATTAAGAAACACACTGTATATAAAAAATGTCGAATTATTAAAAATATCAATTATTTTAAAAGAAAGAAATCGAGAGAGATTCTGTCTGCAACAAAAAAATGCTTTATTTCGCATTTCAATTCATGAGCTAAACATGAAAAAAAAAACGGCCTCGATTTACAAAGTCGTAGGAAAACGCATACAGGTAATACACTCAGGGGCTCAGGTAACATCCTGTGTATATAGGTAGTATACACAAGCCAGCGTCGTTCCTTCGGGGCTTCTCAGCCGCTTCGATTAAGCTCCACCCCACACCAAACTTACCTGAGGAAAACCGTACGGTTGAAAACCTCGGCCTTTAACCAATGAAAATTAAGAATAGACAGAGGGTAAAAACATCATTATATGCGACGTAAAACTTTCCGGCTATGTGTTACGACTTTGGATCGCGTACCGAAGGTGCATACGAGAGGGTCCGAAAAAGTGTCCGACTTTCGCTTTACCGGGGAGGGGGGGGGTGTATAGGAAGTTGTATAATCTGTGGATGGAAATCGTAGTATTTGTATACATCAAGACATTATCGTTCATATGTGAAGAAAACGTGATGTGAAATTTTAATTTAAATCAAACATTAACGTAGGTTTCCTTGATCAATATACATGTATATCTGCGTAACAAAATATCATCATCTTTTTTGTTGAGGAAAATTCAATCACAAATAGTGAATTCAATACTCCAGACATGATTAGAAATTTTAGATGCGCCAGGACTGATATTTCAATGTGATAGAACCTCAGGGTTTTTTTTTATATAATTCCAAAAAAAAAAAAGAAAAGAAATGATTTTTATTAGATTCAGATAAAAATGCTTTAATTTTTCAAGTGTAAATATCTTTCTTGTTAAATCAGTATTTCCCGCAAAAAAAGAAATAAAATAATATTTCCCCATTGAATATATATTAATAGTTTTATCAATATTTGTGTCTAGTCTAGATTAATTTTATTAAATGTTTTAATCAGCCTTTATTAATGAAGACCAGCAATCTCTTTGTAAGGATGTTACGCCAGTGGTGTGTATACACCGTTAAACACAGCCACATGTTACCCCTGGCCTGAAAACCCTCCCAAATCACATAGAATATACAAAAAATACACTAACACAGTAGCAGGTGTCTGCGCGACACGTGTCCCCACTTGTGACACGTGCGGACAGGTGCCCGTGAATACAAGGGCATCGCATTGATTGAAACTTACCTGATTAATTTGCGATGATTTTAATTTATGTTTCTATGAAATAAGCTTCTCTATATCAATTTCTATTTAATTTCATATATGTAATACAATTTTGTCGAAAATAGAATATTGAAAGTGTCAATTTAATTTAACTTTGCTTTGCAGAATACACAGATTTAAACTAGCTGACAAATTAAGTTCATGATAAATTGCAGTCAAATCTTTTGATATCTTTTTAAAAATATGCATTGTCAAGAAAATGCTTTTTTAAACCAATTAAAGCATACATTAAGACGGAATTTTCAATAATACGGAAATACATTGTTCTGATGTTACGATCCAAATGTTTGCCCTCAAGTTCCCTGGAAAACCTGTTGTCCTCTTTACCCTTTATCATAAGCATATGTGGTAATTATAACTGTGTAATTTTGATCGTTTAAAGAGAACAAATACAACGCAGTTAAAATTAGTTATCATAGCAAAATACCCCCCGGGTATTAGATAATTGTTTTGTACCAGCTTAGCTGAAAAAGAAGACTAAAGAAACTCTTTTTTTCCCCAGAAAATGAAATTACCAGTAAAAATAGGAGACATTTGGAAAATCAAGGAGTTTTGAATACTCCTGCACTTTACTGCAAAATACAATTTTAACTCATAAAATGAAAAGAGATTCAAATGAGGTCGACACACACCATATCAAATAGATGAGCATATCAAGTATTTTCAATTCACGCGAGAGTAGTCTTTACACAGAAATTATGTGTAATATATATTTTAACAATTCTATTTTCTATAAAAAATATTACCTAGTGTAGCAATATTTATTGTTACAGACAATAATTGCAAAATCGACAAATGTATGCAAACGTTTCTTGAATATTAGACTTGAGAATATGAAAATAGAATGAAAGATATGCACTAAAATTATATACTACTGTAAGTCATGGAATATTATTGGTGGTTCTGTAAATCAAAGATTAAAGAAATAGTTATACTATAAGGAAGATATGGCTCAAAAACAATTATTTGTCTCCCACACTTTATCTTATTTCATTTTCATATTATTGTGTTTTGAACACCTCAGTACCTCTCAGTATGTCCACAGTAGCCTCAGTTAAAACCTCAGTATCACACAGTATCAGCTCAGTTCCCTCAGACAAACCTCAGTGCCCCTCAGTACTTCCTCAGTAGCAACAGTGCTAACCTCAGTGCTCCTCAGTAGCACAACAGAATGCACAGTAAAAACCTCAGTGCAACTCAGTACTTCCTCAGTTTCTCAGTAGTAGCCTCAGTACAACTCAGGGTTTTCTCAGTATCAGTCAGTACTTCCACAGGGTTTTGTTGGATTCTCATTGCTTTTTAGTAACAGTCATGTGTTGCTCACTCTGACCTTGATGTGATTGACTTTATATCGAAAGACTTTTATGTGGATGATGGACTCTTAAGTTGTCCAAGTGAAGATATGGCCATTGACCTGATGAAGAGAACTCAGCTTGCCCTGAAAGAAGGAGGACAGCTTAAGCTTCATAAAATCTCCTCAAACTCGAAGTCTTTGTTGTTGAAGTTTCCAGCAGATGATCTGGCCAAAGACCTAAATGATTTAGATATTGGTGGAGATGATTTACCTGTACAGAGAAGCCTTGGTATGCCGTGGGACATCAACGCTGATGTATTCACCTTCAAGATATCAACTGACCAGAAGCCCTTCACTCGCAGGGGAGTCTTATCAACCATCAATAGTCTGTTCGAACCCCTAGGTATTGCATCTCCAGTAACTGTGCAAGGAAAGATGTTATTCCGACGGATGCTATCAACCTCCAGTGAAATTGATTGGGACAGTTCCCTCGATGACTCGTTCCGCTTGAAATGGTCGGTTTTGGTCAACTCCGTCCGTCATCTTGAGGATCTCAGGATACCAAGGATGTGCTGCAAGTATTCTGTTTATGAGTCACTACACAAGAAAGTGCACATTTTTACTGACGCCTCCACAGATGCGATAGCTGCTGTGGCATTTCTGAAAGTATGGAAGGACTAGGGTAACAGTGATGTAGGTTTCCTTATTGGCAAGGCCAAAGTGGCTCCAGCACATGGTCATACAATCCCCAGACTGGAACTGTGCGCAGCGGTTCTTGGGATAGAGATAGCAGAAATCATCAGAGAACAGATATATTTAGAGAAGAATACTTTCAGATTTTACAGCGACAGTCAGATTGCTTTTGGTTATATAACCAACGACGCCAGACGTTTTTATGTCTACGTTGCGAATAGAGTGAGTAGGATTTGTCATTCAGTTAACTTGACCAATGGCAGCACACTACTACTGATCATAATCCAGCAGATTTGGGTACTCGATCGTTCGATGCTCAAGAACTCCCTCAAAGTATGTGGCTGCTTAGGGAAGATAACCTCTCCACTACCTTTGTGGGGGCAAGTGAGAACTTTGCTCTCATATCAGATGATGATAAGGAAGTTTGACCTATTATTGAAGTCAACAAAACGACCGTCGAGGGAAGAACCCATAGCTCTTTCAAGTCTCGCTTAGAATGGTACTCGCAATGGACTAAACTAGTTCGCAGTAAAGCTATGTTGAGGCATGTCTTACTTGCAAAGGACTCCTGCAAACTTTCAACGAGACGATGTCATTACTGTCCACAGTCTTTGAATTTGGACACCCTCAAATCAGCTGAGATTCATATTTTGAGAGAGGTACAAAGGTCTGAATTCAGTGAAGAGGTAGAATGTCTCATCAAGGAGAAGCCCATACCTAAAGGTAGCAGCATCATTTCCTTGGCACCATTTCTGGACTCCAATGGCTTACTACGTGTTGGTGGTAGGATTTCTGCTCTACAGAAGTTAGTTGACTTGGACGTATATCCTATAATCATACCTAAGAAATCCCACATAGCCACCTTATTGACTAGGTATTTTCATGAGAAGGTGTCCCACCAAGGACGTAAGATGACAGAAGGCAAGATCAGGTCATCAGGATTCTGGATAATTGGAGTCAAGCGTCTAATAGCGTCAGAGATTCACCACTGTGTAACATGTCGCAAATTGCGAGGAGCCTTCTGTGGTCAGAAAAAGGCTAACCTTCCAAAGGATCGTTTGACCCCACGACCTCCATTTACGTTCGTTGGCCTGAATACGTTTGGACCTTGGGATGTAACGGCAAGGCGCACAAGGGGAGGATTAGCCACAAGCAAAAGATGGGCAATTATGTTTACGTGCCTAATATCAAGGGGTATCCACATTGAGCTCGTTGAGGAATTGAGCACTTCCTCTTTCATTAATGCGTTAAGGCGTTTCCTTTCTATACGAGGACCTGTCCGTCAATTTCGTTCTGACAGAGGAACCAAATTTATTGGTGCAGTAAAGGAACTACAGATGGTTCATCAGTTCGTGGAGAAACCCATGGTACAGAGATTCTTGCAGGACAATGAGTGCTCATGGATATTCAACCCTCCACATGCATCCCACTTTGGTGGAGCCTGGGAGCGCATGATCGGTGTGACGCGCAGAATCTTGGACGGTATGCTTCTACGAAATGGAATGAAAGGTTTAACCCATGACACACTTTCTACATTTCTGGCAGAAGTTTGCGCTATAGTGAATTCATTACCACTTACCACCATTACAGAGGATGCCAGTGATCCATCCTTCCTTACACCTGCAATGATACTCACTCAGAAGATAGGACATTTACCAGAATCATTGCCGGACATTGACCCCAAAGAATTATACAAGTATCCATCCTTCCTTACACCTGCAATGATACTCACTCAGAAGATAGGACATTTACCAGAATCATTGCCGGACATTGACCCCAAAGAATTATACAAGTCTCAGAGGCATTACGTTCAAACTCTTGCAGCTGAATTTTGGCGAAAATGGGAATGTGAGTACTTATCCGCCCTTCAAACTCGACGAAAGAGGACATTAGAAGAACCTAGTTTAAAGGAAGGAGACGTGGTGATGCTAGAAGAATCTGAGAGTCCAAGGAATCAGTGGTCGGTTGCACGTGTGAATAGAATCTTTCCTTCTACTGATGGACATGTACGTGAAGTTGAAGTGCGTGTGGTTAGGGGGGGACACTGTATCTCATTATGTTAGACCCATTCACAAATTTGTGCCACTAGTCTTGTCTTAGTTGTTGTGCATGAAACAGTACAAGATATGTAAGATACATTTGTGATACGTTTGTTAGGTTTATTTTCCTAAGCGACGTGTAATTGATATAGTGAATTCTTATACAGAAATCAGAAGGGGAGTGTAGTGACACGGAAATTGTCCGTGTGGGTTTTAGATTTTATGTTCTGTTTATACATGTACTGTATTTCCGGGAAGACCCCACGTTTTGTTTCGAAGGCATATTTGCCCTTTTTGTCTTGTTTGAAGGCCCAAAGAGTAAGTTTTTGTTTTGCATATTTGTAATCACATTAAAATTATTACATACGATAAGTCTTAACTGTTGTCTATACTTGATTTTTGCATATTTTTGTTATAAATCGTAAGTGCACAAACGCACATGGCGTTGGCGTTAGGGAAAATCTGGATACTAGTATGTATATTTATGTATCGATACTTTTTCACTTTACTTTATGAATTATTTGGTTTATATTAAGTTGAAAAGTTGAATGATGTAATATAGTATTGATACTAGTATACAGAAAGTCCTAAAACGAATTTTTCTTGCATTTTTCAAATTTGGTATGATGTATGTCATGGATTGTCATGATGTTGTCTCACAAATTTATGAACTGCTTATATTTGTTTGTTTATGAAATTATTTGTAAGACGGCTGTTTTGTTTTGTAGTCTCTTACCCTCATGACGAGGAGGCCAATAAACATCTTAAACCAACTTAAGGTCAAGATCTAGTAAATAGCTTAAGACTTCTTTTTTGGTGCTAGATCTATTATGACGTCATAATCAATTTCAACTTTCTTTTTCCCGTACTTTAGGGCTTTAGCAAAATTATGTAGAAAATATGTTATTTTCATGACATTCAATTTGAAATCATATAAAAAGTAAACCGGATACGTATATTAAATTTGATGTTAATTTAAAGAAGAGGCCATGAACATACTAATTACCGTTTTCTGAGAGATTGTAGGCAATCTGGATACATTGTCTATGTCGAATATGAGAAAACCTCCCATATTCATGACTGGTTTTCTTTATTTTTCATTGAAAATGGCAGTTTAAAATACAGTTTTTCATCTTTTTTATCTGCAAATTATGCCCCGAAACACCTTATTTGACCAAGCTAAAGTTGTAAAGCATCAATAAAGGGATTTATTTCTCAAGTTTCATAAATCTGTAGGCACCTTTCATTTACTAGATCTTGACCTTAAGCTTGTTTGTGCACATACTTCAAAAAAGACGTTAATTTTAATCTAACAACCACGCTTTATAATAAACCTTATGCGTTTAACGTTTCTATTGTCAAATATACTTGCATATGCAGCAATATACTTTCATCGTCAGCATTCGGAGTTTATGTATATCAGATGATTCGATACCCATGAGAAAGAACTACATATGAACAATTTGTAAAAAGAGGTAAATTATTGACAAACAAGTCAAGAATTTTAGGTGTCTCGTTTAAAATCATCATTTCGTAAGTTCTATTGTCGACACAATGACCTTGTCAGCAAATACAATTAATCATTGAGTCAACTGCTGACTGGCGTTTTGCATACTTATTTTTAGTTTATTATATATAAATGACGACGGATTTTCCCGTTATATCCCGATAATGTAATAGTGACGAGGTATGTCCAGTGCACGATGTTTTTTCGATATTGTCGACATTGCTGTAAAAAAAAAAGTCATCCTTATATCAAAACATATTCAACATGACTATAATTCCTTTGTTTATATCTCTTTGTATTACATTGTTTAATAATATAACGTCAGCATCTTGTTAACATTGCCCCCCCCCCCCTTTCTGTTGTTTACATTGTTCACATCGTCGACATCACAATGTTGGTTGATAGGGAGTCGACGTCGTGTCAACATTGCCCTTCTTATTTTTCTTGTTTACATCGTTCACATCGAAGACATCGCAATGTTGGTCGACATCGTGCCAACATTGCCTTCTTTTTAACCTGTTAAGATCGTTCACATCGTCGACATTGCAATGTCGGTCGACATCAAGTCGACATTGTGTCAACATTGCCCTTCTTATTTTTGTTGTTTACATCATTCACATCGTCGACATCGCAATGTTTGTCGATATTGAGTCGACATCGTGTCAACATTGCCCTTCTTTCTATCTTGTTTACATCGTTCACATCATCGACATCGCAATGTTGGTCGTATCGAGTAGACATCGTGTCATCATTGCCTTTTTCAACATCTTGTTTACATCGTTCACATCGTCAACATCGCAATGTTGGTCGATATCGAGTCGACATTGTGTCAACATTACCTTTTTTCAAAAGCTTGTTTACATTGTTCACATCGTCGACATCGCTATGTTGGTCGGTAATTGAGTGTAAACATTGCATTCTTATTAATTTTTGTTTATACACTTAGTATCTGTGTTGGCCTATATCGAGTTGTCATCATGTCAACATTAAGTTTCCCTTTTTTGTATTTTAACTTGTTAAAGTCATTGACAACGCATTTAACGCATAAAATCAAGTTGAATTCATATTGATAAGGCAATATATTCTCTTTACTTTTTGCATATTATCATCAGGGCAATCTTTGACTCTTATGAGTCCACATCAAGTGTACATTAAGTATGAAGCATGTCTTACATTCTGAAAATGAACTAAAAAACCAATCCTCAACCTTGGAAACAGTGTTTGTCATCTGTACAGTACATGCAAAATAGTTTTAACATTAAGGATTACGTTTACTCAACGTTAGAGATAGCACAAACTGGTCGCCGTAGAACACGATGTTGTAAAATCTGTAATCTCATGATTTATTATATATAGAAAATATTGAGAAAATAGAGTTTTTATTTTAAATAAAACATAACGGTTAAGAGTTAAATAAGTTTTTTGAACAATCTACTCTAATGCAATTTGTTATTTGCGACATGCCGTAAATTTCGCGGCGAATGTAAACAGTCGTCTGTCAGAAAGAATGACGCAGTGGAGACGACCAATCGGATCACCTCGCCCTTTTCCGTCGCACGCTAGAAAAAAGACTCGGAAGTAAGCGTATGAATAATGCTCGAATTGAGCAGTTTAGCGAAAGAATTCGAAGTAGTGCGGCACAATTTAAGTCCAACTAAAACGAGGTGTAATTTGGTTATTTCTGCATAATTTACAAAAAAATGAATTAAAATTATATAGAAACAAAAACTTATTGTCGTTTTATTTTAATTGAACTTACATTAAAAAGAACTATAACATTGGTCATTGCGTCATTGAAAATATGTTAACATTACCACGTGAAATTTTAAGCATGTTTCAGGAACATCTTGATTACGCTAAAAAGCATGCTGGTTTTGACTTTGATTTTAAAGATAAACAGTTACAAGTTCTGGAATCTTTGTAAAATTGTAAAGATACAGTTGTCACCGTGCCTACCGGATATGGGAAAAGTGCAATTTTCCAAGTGTTGCCCTTTTCCAGAGGAAATTCGAGTTACCAAGGCCTATGATAGTTGTTGTCGTGGCACCCCTGAACTCGGTGATGCAGGACCAGGTGCAAGGTTTGTCTGCAAAAGGTTTTCCAGCCTGCTATATCGACATAGCAGGAATCGAGTGACTACATATACAAATGAGTAAGTGCACCATCATAGATACATGTATAACTTAGCATGTTTGGTGCAGCTGGCATTAGTAAGTAATTTACCCATATTTAAATAATATTTTTTCATATAAGGGGTAGCTTGCATGTCAATATAATTAACTTGCATGTTGACATAAATATGTTGCAATGTTGCATAATTATGTCGCTTGTTAACATGTAGGGAGCAGAAATATGCCACCACAGTACATCTAACTTGCATATCAACTTATTATTGATTGACAAGTGCATGCATCTCTACATTATAATGATAGTTACATAATTAACAAATCCATTCCTACCATTTATCTAGGTTAAAATCACAATAATTAAGGGCAATGAATAATAAATTTGTTGTATCAAATGTATTCCAGCTGCCCTTAAATTACCTCATATCATACATTTGACTCACTATTTAATTAAATTTGCTTTGATTTCATATTCACTAGATTCTTTTTTAATTTTAGTGACATCGATAATGATACCCTCTTTGAGTTTGTGACCATTGTCAAGATGCAAGATCTACTTGAGGGAAAATATTATTTAATATATGCACACCCAGAAACACTACTTGGCAGTAAGGGTATTGGAAAGATGCTGAGAAGTAAGCTGTTTAAAGAGTACGTTTGCTGCACAGTTGTGGATGAAGTTCACATGATTTCAGAGTGGTAAGCAGTTAACAATTTAGTAGATAGCTATAGTCAATGATACTCTAATAGTTTCTTCAGGCACGCAGCAACGGGGGGGGGGGGGGCTCCACTTTCAAAAATGATGCTACGTGCCTGTTCATAAATGTAAAACTGTCATCTTTCATAACATGACATACAATCAAATTAAAATCAATGTTTAGATCCATTCTTTTCTTGTTCTTTAACATTTCAATTTGTATTTCAGGGGTTCAGATTTCAGAAAGTCTTTCCAAAGGCTTGGTGAATTAACCATAATATTTCCTGACAAGCCCAATCTTGCCATGACAGCAACAACTACCAAGTCCGCCATGGAATCTTTAACCAAGATATTGCAGTTTAAGGATCCAAATTTTATAATAGAAAATCCAGACAGGCCCAACATTTTCATAGAAGTCAGAGAAAGATTACCAAATCTGCGTAAATATGAAAAGCAGGAAAAAATTCTGTCTCCCCTCGTTACAGAACTCAAGGAAAAACTCCTGAATTTCCCTGTGACAGTAGTTTATTGTGATAATTTGGAAACTGTTGGATATGGGTATCAGTACATAACTAGTGAACTTGGTGAATATCAGTACATTCCGAAGGAAGAAAATTACCGGAAAATAGGATTTTCGCTCAATATCACAAAGACTATACTGAAAAAATGAAAACTCACATTATCTCTGAGCTGAGGAAAGAGAGTCCTAAAGTTCGTCTTGTTTTGGCAACAGTGGCATTTGGTATGGGTCTTAATTCGCCATCAATAGAAAGGGTAATACATACAAGGCCACCAACAACTCTAGAGAAGTATTTGCAGGAGATTGGCAGAGCTGGGCGCTCTGGACAGAAGGCCGCAGCCATAGTGTATTTTAATAACAGTGATGTTGCACCCAATCGTACGGGTCTTCAAGCGGAAGTACGTGACTTTGTTAAAAACAGGACAACCTGCTTACGCAGACACCTAATGAAATATTTCGGGTTTGAAGACATAACACTCTGCATTTCATCTGACAATTGCTGTTCAAATTGTAAAGGAAGAAATGACCAACTCTAAGAATTTGTACTATGTTCTCAGCTACTAAAAAGAGGCATATGGACCCTAATAATTACTAGTCTTTCATCCTTTTGGGCTTAACCCATCTTCACTTTGTTAGTTTTGTATGTAATCTAATTTACATGCTAGAACCTAGGGCATAAAGAAAAGGTACATTATATAAAAACAAATATTTCAATTTTGAGATGGTAGTCAATACTAGTATATACTTTTTACTCACTCAATGATTCTAATGAACTGTAAAATCTGTAGTTACATGTATGTAGTTCAAATATTTGTTTATTTGAAACCAAATTCATTTTCTATTTGAAAGATTTATTTCACATTCAATATATGATAAGAAAAGCTCTGATAATTGAAAAGGTAGAGTCTTCAAATATTAAACTTTTCAAATCAATTTTATATAAATAATATGAACACCTTTTAAAAAACTAAAAAAGTATGAAATTACTTGTAAGTTTAAGAAATTAACTTAATGCAAAATATTTCCTTGCAATGATAATGTTCTTAACTGTACAATCGTAAATGCAAATATGTATATTTTAGATGCTTATGAAGTGCTTTAAATTACATTCTCATTACAATTCGTATTTTGTTGTCAAACTTGTAAGTTAAATAAATACACATAATTTAATTATATCACAATCCATGTTCGTACTGTGTAAATACATGTGTAATGGAAAAGAAACTTCATGTATCACTGTCTTCTCCATCACTTACGTCAATATCATCACCATCACATTCCACAGGAAAGTTCCTTAACAGTCTCTGACAGATAGCCATAATGTCCAAATGAAAAATATGTTGCTTTTCAAATAACTCGGCATAAACATTATTGGGAATTTTGGCATAATGCTTCAACATCCTTTCGGGTGTTCACGTTAAAGGCTTCAAGCATCTGAATTCCTGCAGAATACATTGCAGATCTTCACTGTCATCTCTTTTCTTGTGGGACGTTTCAATATTCCTCTCATGAATTTAATTGTCAAGATTTTTAACAACATTGTTAATTATAGGGGCAGCCTTGCAGAGATGAGATTAACTATAACAGTCTCGGTTTTATTGAATCCTAAGACTCTGATCAGTTCCTTCAACTCTTTGACTTGGTTTTCCTTTCGCATATCACTGGGTTTATTGTTCCTTGGTCCACCTTTTGGATTTACGAATGAGCTTGTGCGGACTTCTAATGAAAGTCTTGGTGATAATAAAATTTCAGTTTTTAAGATATAGTCTATGCATTCCACTAAATATTTTGATAAGTTAGAATGGGCATAGAAATATGGCATCATCAATTTCAATGAAATATTGACTCTGAAAATGTCACCTTCATATATGGCATCCTTCATAAATATCATAAGTAAATAATGTTGCAAGAAATAATGCATGTAATTGAAGAGGTCGTCTTCTTTGGCTTTGGACAAAGTTAACATATTGCCCGATATGTTCAGGACTACGACTTTCCCTTGCTCCAGACTTGATTTCGGAATCTGTACCTTATATTGTTTGTCACACAGGATATGAAATGTAATATATCCTTCTTTAGTTGGAACTTTTTGGGTCTCCCCATTGATGTCAAGATATTTCCACTTCCTTTTCTCAGACTCCTAAAATAAAATAAGAATGCATCTTTATACACAAGTACTATAGCCCCTTGGCACTTTATTTTTTTATGTATGTATGATATGTACATGTACGTGTATAGGTAATTGTACATCATCAAATAATGCAAGAATTGACTGAAAACGTTTTGGATTGACTGGTTAAGATATACCTGTATTATAAAGTAAATTTATACACAACAATAATGTTTGCTTCACAAATACACTTTAATAAAATATGATCAAATAAAATATATATGTATTCAAAACGTCTTGCATGATTTTATTGAACACTGCTTCTCTTTTTTTCTTCTGTGTCTGCGCAATATTGGATGGGATACACTCTGTATGTTTTCTGGGAATGTCATCAGTGGATTCCATATCAAAATGCTCCAGAAAGAAATGTCATAACAGGGCTTTTACAAAAAGGATGATGAAGTCCTCATGAGCTTTAAATCGGCTTTTGACGTTGCACGCTGTATCAAGGACTTGATATGGGCAAGGGTGCCAACGTTTCTCCCTGTCTGCTTTTTCATAAGCTGTTTTGCCATTTTCTACAAGGGATAAAGTACAAATACATACTTTGACATTCCATGTCAACAACTCATATGCAGTGCAATGTACTTATACGCACACTTTTCAAAGTAGGTAAACTACCAGGGTATGTAGTTTTTTTTTTGTTTTGTTACTTATTTATTTTTTTATTTTGCATAGCAGTATTGTATGAATTGAAATCTGAAAAAAGTCAAATTGCTGAAAAAAATGATTGGGTATTACAGTATGGGAAATTTTGATTTAGAGTACATCAAACAAATCATTTTATTGTTGGCCCAAAAATTAAGATTAATGTGATATATTTAAAAAATAAAATAATAAATACCAAATAAATTTTAAAACAGTCGGTGGTCAGAACTCATAAACAGCAAACCAAATAGTAACAATTTTGTGCTGGTAACCTCTTCCTGCTTTGGTGTACAAGTCTGCAAATTCATGAACATAAGAACTGAGTATCTCGACACAATCGTCATACTTCGCTTCATTCTTTAAAAGTATCGGAAGAATGTAAGAGTCACTTTTCCTAGACATTTCTGATTCAAAGGATGTTCTATGTGAGTAGGAACAACAAGTTCTATCCACTTAAATGCTTGGAAGGTGGAAGGCAGCTCTCTAGCTACCAAGAATTTTGTTGCAGTTTTAAAAAGAGAAATCTCTTGCTCAGATGGAATAAAGCACTAAATAGTACATTCACGATTCACTGGATTGGAAATTACTTCTCGCAGAAATGTATTGTCATTGAAATTTTGGTTCTCCAATCGAAATGAAGTCTAATCACTTGCAGAAAAGTGGTAATCTAAGTCACTGTTGTTCATTCGTATATCATTGGTTGTCACACGCAAGTCCAAATCATCCCCATTGATCTTTCCATTTTTCCCATATTTGATTGCTTTTAAAACCTTTATTGTAAATTCACATCTGAATTCTTTAATAACTGTTCTTTTACTTTCTGCTGACAGTGTCACACTGATTTTATTAAGACGTTCCAAGAGCTGGAAGATACAATCATAACAAATTTCAACATATATGTAATTGCAAAATCAGAAATTTTTAAAATAAATGCATAAAGAAGGATATGGAAATAACGAACAGTATTTAATCTCAACGTCCATTAAACAATATACAAAATAAAAGCAGAGCAAACACGAACCTCCGAAACATCAGAGGTGGGATCAGGTGCCATGGAGGAGTGAGCATCCCCTGCCGACCGGTCACACCCGCCGTGTGCTCGTTGTCATAGTCAGGAAATAACGGAAAAAATCTGTCGTCAATTCAGTGTATAAATAATGGACTAACAATTGGTATGAAAAACGTCAGTCAGCATTTCATTCAATGATAAATTGTATTTGCTGACAAGGTCATTGTATCGACCATAGAATTTACGAAATGATGACTTTTAACGAGACTGTTGATATTCTTGTTTCCTCAACTTGCTTGTCAATAATTTACCTCGTTTAAGAAATTGTTCATACGTAGAGCATGTTCTTGCGTATGGAATCAACTGAGATATATATACTCCGTATGCAGGTGATGAAGGTATATTGCTGCATGCTGGGAAGGATAAAATACAAGGAAAAATAACCGAAGAGAGCGACAAAAAAAATCGTCGGCGTCAATCGAAGGTTTTTAAAACCTTTGGATCTGTAGCTCTCTGCTTTATCTGTCTGAATTTTCTCCAGCAGGGAGCTACAGTTCTGCAGCTAATTGGATATGTGAAGGAAATATATTAACTATATTATTTCAGTAGGCTAAATATGGACAAGTGCAGGCAAAATAAATTGTTTTTACATGATTCAACTTACTTCTAGTTAGACAATTTTTTTTAATTAATTGTCAACAACATTATCATTTCCCCTCTAAAAGGTAGGATTTTCTGATTCTAGAGGTCTTTAATTGTTACTTGATAAAATTCCAGATATCTGTGCTTCAATCTTTTATGATAAAAATATAGTATATGTAAATTTTCAATCATACCCGATAACTTAAGCTTTTCCACAGAGCTTATGATCTGTTCCACCACTTTTCTCTTGGGAGTTGGATTTTTCGGGGTAGAAACAGACCGTTTTACAGGCACAATACTTTCCATGCTTTGGGGCGATGAACCTGGACTTGCAATTGAGATCTGAATTGTAGGTATTTTGAGTAATGATAAATCATTTTATTCAAGCTTCATTTTATTATTTAAATTGTCATTATATTGCTGATACCCCTAATTAAGATAAGTAAATTAAGATCTTATTTGTTATATAAAAATTGAACAATCAGTGTCATACCAGTGTTAACATGTTATGAACTTCACTTACCCTTGTTGATAAAATTTTGCGTTTAAACTCTGCAAATTTTTTTGAGGTTGTGAAGGCATGACCTACAGATTTTGCTGTCAGGAGTAACATGGACTCCTGACACAAACAAAAACATAGATGGGATATCGTCTTCGTATGCTTTCTTCCCATCCGAAGCGTTAAATACTGTGCCCTTCGTCTCACGACATATGGCACAGGGCGCTGCCATATTTGTTTGAACATGTGACGAAAAAAAATAGTTCCAACATGTCGTGTACTTACTTCCGAGTCTTTTTTCTAGCGTGCGACGGAAAAGGGCGAGGTAATCCGATTGTGGAGACAACAAGGGTTTTCAAAACAAAATAACAAATATACCAAAAACTCGGAGGTCTTAAAATCTCGCTGGAAGTGCGTCCGGGACGACCACAATTATTCACAGGGCGAACGTCATCTTTCCCACACTATAAACAATTTTAAGTCCCATACTCCCAATAAATTATATAGTCAACGGTTTTGAATTTTAGAACTGATTATGGCACATCTGAAAACAATGCATTCAAAGAAATGTACATGTGTAATTGTTAATTTAATGATTCATGGACTGGCGTTGGCCCAGCTCAAGTAAATGATCTGTTAACAACTTGAAATATCCCTGCTGTGAGTACAAAGACCATCCAGAATAGACAAACAGAGACAGGACTGGCCATTGAAAAAGTTGCTGAGGACACAATCCATCAGGTCTTACAAGATGAAATCCAAGCTACAGTTGAGTAAGTACATTGTTTAATAATTATTACATGTATACACCTATAAAAAGTGATGGTTACTAGATCTTTCGTGGCACAGTACTGGTATTTCCTCACAAAACTAAGGGTGTGCTTGATTGTAAAGTCAGATTTCAATTCCGAGAGTTCCAAAAATTCTATCAATCATGTAAAACTAGAATTGGAATTAGTTCACAATATGGCTGTAGCTCAACAAATAAAGAAATTCTTCTTATTAAATGATATATTGTAAGAGGCGATGGGGGATGAAAGTGCGAGTGAATGCTGTGAAGAACAGAATATCATGATGTTTGCTGTGTGCAGGCAGCAGCTCATAAGTGAACTCCACAATGAACATGGTCATAATAATTTGAGAACAATATTAAATTTTAATTTGCAAATAGGTATATCATGGTACATAGGACTGTATCAGGCCCAAATACAGGAAAAAAAAACTGCATACGTTTTTATCGGCACTCTCAGCAAATGTACACAGTATAGCAGTCTAGTCGAACCCTCAAACGGGGGTAAACGGAAGTAGGAAATCCGTACCCTAAAACGGGGATACGCGCATGCACAGTCACTCAAAATAGTGCCGTTTTCACGGAAAAACGTGTGGTCCACAAAATATGCTCGTGCAAAGTGATGGATTATTTCGTAGCTCTGTATGTACTCAAATTTGATAGATTAAAGATCTTTAAAGAGATTGTATTGCGAAAAAGTATATGTTTATTGCAAAAAATCGAGACTTTTTCTCTCCCAAAGTTAGCGTATTTTGTGTCTTGACCTCCATGCTTGATTTTTTATTCATAATTTAATAAAACGGCTGAATAAACAAACAATGGTTTGTATAAAGTTGAACTACATATAATTCCCTTCCCCGGTATTACGAATTTTGTGTAATTAACATGTTATTTTTTATTTTTCAACACTTTCTTGTGTGCCCGTCCGAGTTTCCTCTCTCCTGTAAACAAAATTTGTGCTTCAGAAATAAGGTAAGTAAAAACGAAAAAAAAAATTAATTTAATTTTTTAATTGAAAACAAAGGTGTAAACAATTCATTTTTGTATGTTTGTGATTTTTTAAAAAAATATTTTTTAAATAAGAAGAGTTATCGTTTTTGATTTCCACTTCCGCTTTGGCGCGTTGCATTAAGGAAAAGAAAACCCTCGTTTGAGGGTATATCCCCGTTTGAGGGTTCGACTAGACTGGTATAGTCTCCATCTTTAATTCCTCTCACACCACCTCTCAATACGGGATTGATAGAACTGCGCCGGAATTGAATTCCGGCTAACTTGATTGTAATTCCGCCAATTCCGAAAATTCAAGCTACTAATCAAGCACGCCCTAATTTTTGCATTTAATCATAATCAGCATTTCAAAAAAAAAAAAATTATAAAT